GCCACTGGGAATCTGTCCTTGAACTGAATGCGGGAGATTTTCATAGGAACATAGAATCATAGTGGTTGGAAAAGCCCTTGAAGCTCATGGAGTCCAACCATGAACCCAACACTGACCAGTCCCCTATGACTAACCCATGTCCCTCAGCACTGTGTCTACATGACTCTTCAATCCCTCCAGGGATGGGGACTCCACCACTGCCCTGGGCAACCCCTTCCAATGCCTCAGAACCCTTTCAGCAAAGAAATTCTTCCTCACATCCCATCTCAACTGCCCTGGCCACAACTTCAGCCCATTTCCTCTTGTCCTGTCCCTTGGGCCTTGGTTGAACAGACCCACCCCCACCTCTCTCCACCCTCCTCCAAGGGACTTGCACAGAGCCACAAGGTCTCCCCTCAGCCTCCTTTGCTCCAGGCTCAACACCCCCAGTTCCCTCAGCCACAAGGGAACTCAGCACACTTGTGCTCCAGACCCTTCCCCAGCTCCGTTGCCCTTTCTTGGACATGGATATTGAGGATCCCACAAGTTCTCATTCAAAGTCTCTTTTTTACGACACAGAATTTTCTTCCACCATTTTGAAAGGCACAAACCTCCCAGAGTCATCTAAATTGTCCTTTTTTTCCTCTCTCTCTCTATCTCCATCCTCAGGAACCGCCTCACAGGTTTGATGCCAGATATTTTGTTGGATCCTATTTACATTGGTCTTTTTGGCAGCACTGGAGCTGGGAAAAGCACGTTGCTGAATGCCATCATAGATAAAAACTTCTTCTTGCCAGTGTCTGGGTACAGAGCCTGCACCTCCTGCGTGGTGCAGGTCAACACGAGCCACAGCAAAACGTATGAGGCCAAAATTTACCTTCTCACAGATGAGGTATGGATAATTTTGGGTTTTCTTTCTAATTTTGCCCTTGAAAGGAAAGGAGATTGAGTCTTAGCAAACTTCTCCACAGGGAAGTTCTCTGGAATCATAGAATCATAGAATGGTTTGGATTGGAAGGGACCTTAAACTCATCCAGTCCCAACCCCCCTGCCAGCAGCAGGGACACCTTCCACTAGACCACGTTGCTCAAAGCCTCATCCAACCTGGCCTTCAACACTTCCAGGGAGGAGCATCCACAGCTTCCTTGGGCAACCTGTTCCAGTGTCTCACCACCCTCACAGTGAAGAACTTCTTCCTAATATCTCATCTAAACCTCCCCTCTTTCAGCTTAAACCCATTTCCCCTTGTCTTGTCATTAGTTGTCCTTATGAAAAGTCCCTCCCCAGCTTTCTTGTAGGCCCCCTTCAGGTATTGGAAGGCCACTATAAGGAAGTCTCCCTTCTCTTCTGAAAAGGATGGTGGGATGGGGGAGGATGAGACACTGGTGGCCAAAGTATCCCCAGAGAAGTGGTGGACGTTGGCACTGGTTCCCACTGGTTTAGGAGTGCAAGGAAGGAAGAAGCAATGCAATTTCTTCCTTGGACTCCTGTCCTGGAGGCTTGAGACCCCTCAGCTGTGCCTACGTGTTGGTTGTCCCAGGCCAATCTTCCTCAAGCCATGTCCTTTCCCTTCCTCTTCCAGGTACCCAAGTCATTACCTCTCCTGTGTATCTGCTCTGTTTCAACAGGAGTGGAAGGATGAACTGAAGGGTCTGATGGCATTTTTGGACCCAGATGAGGAGGAGAATGACAGCGAAAGAAACGAGGCTGTTCTGAAGATCTCTGCTATCTATGGGGAAGAAGCAGAAAATAAGAGTTATGAAGAACTGTGTGAGATGAAACCCAAAATCCGTATTCCTGATTCCAGATGTATCACCCTCAGGGATAAGAATGTGAGAAGCCCGTGTCTTTCTTGGCCAATGTGACCACTCATCTTGTGTCCTTGCAAAATATAGCCAAGTATCTTAACCCATTGGCTTCTGTCTCAACCCCAATAAGTGAGGACAGTCTTTGGAGCTGGCCCATCCCTCTGGGAAGGTTACATCAGCTTGCAGGGCAGGTTTCTCTCCATATCTTGTTAAATTCAACTTTTCCACTGTCCTTGGGTGGGAGAGCAGCATTGTCCATCAGATTCCTGAGGGAGAGGGTCCTGGGAGAGGTCTTCTGTTGCCCACTGGGGCTGGGAGGTGATATCTTTTCCCACTCTTTCTTTGTTGAGTTCATTGTGTTGGGAAGGGTGTTGGGAAAGGTGTTGGGAAGGGTGTGAGCTTCTTGGGTTGTCTCACTAGTGGTGACATTGGGAAGTTGTTTCCCCTCTTCATACCATGGTGTCCATACCTAGAGCATGGGGTTTTGAGTGGTCCCAATCAGTTGTGGCAGACCATCATGATTTCTTGGTGTCTTTGAAGGGGTTTTTTTTGCTAAAAAGGGTTATTTCTTTCTTCATCCATCCAGGAGAAAGACTTCTCTGAAAAAATGAGCCCCTATATCTGGATTCAGGGCATCCGTAACGACTCAAAAGCAGGAGCAAGTGAAGAAGACAGCAGAACACGGTTCTGGCCTCTAGTAAAAAATGTGGAAGTGACTATCCCAAGATTGCAAGTGGTTCCAGAAGGTGTTGTCTTCGTGGATATTCCAGGGACAGGCGATTTCAGTAGCAAAAGGGATGCGATGTGGAAAGAGGTGACTGGTGTTGATGTCCCACTGGGAGAATGGGGATATTTGTTGGTTCTCTGGCAATGCTGCGGTGGTGTTCCTGGTCCACAAGTGATGGAGACATCTGGGATCCTCAGTGGGGCTGTGAGGAACAGGGAAAAGCTTTTAGCAGAAGGACCAGATTGATGTTTCAATGTTGTGCACCTGAGTCTTTACTATTTATCTTCCTTCTTGCCTGATATCAGGCTGCCACCAAAATTCCTACCAGGACAACCACTGGTGGCCAATCCAAGCCCCTATCTGTGGTAGTCCTGAGTTGGAAGAATTCATGGGTGGGAGGTTGAGGTCTTTGGTTAGAAATACACTCTGGAAAGATGGTACATCCTCTTTCTTCAGCCAAAGTTACTGGGAATTAAAGGTGATCAGCATCTCTGGAATTTATTCTTTGCTGATGGTTTATATCTTCTCTTTCTGGTGTTTCTTCTCATCATCCCATCACAGAACATCAACAAATGCTCTATCATTTGGGTTGTCAACTCCATCGAACGTATTCATGGAAACAAAATCCATGAGATGATGCTGAATGAAGGCATGAAGGCTTTCCAGTGTGGGATATGCAGGGACATCTCCTTGGTTGTCACCAAGTCTGATCAGATGAATCTAAAAGAATACAAGAGGTAATGAGACAAGCTGAAGTCCAGGGCTCTGGGGGAGTGGGGTACTGGGTGGGTGATGTTGGGTCTGACCCCACCTGGACTGTGTTGGGGTGGTCCTTCCCTTCTCCTGACAGGAGTAGAGGACTGTTGACTTAGGTTGCCCAAGGAAGTTGTGGCTGCTCCTCCCTGGAAGTGTTGAAGGCCAGGCTGGATGAGGCTTTGAGCAACCTGGTCTAGTGGAAGGTGTCCCTGCTGCTGGCAGGGGGGTTGGGACTGGATGAGCTTGAAGGTCCCTTCCAACCCAAACCACTCTGGGATTCTATGATGACTGCTAAAAATGTTGGGGTGTGTAATTGTTGTTTTGTTTTTCTCTTTCCAGGGAAAGTGAGAAGGATTATGTGAGTATTTGTCAGATTTTAGTCTTTTCAACCTTTTCAGGTCATTTAAGAAAACTAGAGAATTTTCCAGATGAGGTGACTCGAGCAGAACTGGTTGACTTTTAACCCAGAAACCAGAATATTGTGTAATTCTTTACCTTGTATAAAGGAGAAACTGTACTGGACATTTCTTTTGGGCTTAAAAACTTAGAGATCTACTTAAAATGTCCTTGCTCACTACAGGGGGGAGTTGAACTAGATGATCTTTGACTAGAAGATCTGAAAGTCTCTTCCAACCCAAACCATTCCATGATTCTATGATTGTCAGTAATAATTCCTATTGTTTTCCCCAATGTAGATAAATAAACACGATGCCATCCTGGAAAGGAATGAAATTGTGAAGCAAGAGAAGAGCAAAATGATGAAGAGAAACTTAGTGGTAAAGTACCTTGGAGAACCTGTGTCATGAATTTGTGTCTGGTGGCATCTCTGTGTCACAATATTCTTATAATAGGATATTAATAGAAATTCTCCATGAAGTCTGGTCATTATCTAGCAGCTTCTGGTTACTCCAAACTCTCCCTCTGTGCTGTGTTTGGGTGGAATTGGTCTTCCTAAAGTTTAATTCTCCACCATATATGCAACTAATTTGGTGGTGGGGATGGTCTGCCTGATTCAGAGCTTGCTTAATAAAAGAGAAGAACCCAAATCAGATCACTCTACTGTAGGATCACATCTAAAAAGAAGAAGGTTTTGTGTGCAGTAGCAGTGTGAAGCTCAACTCTTGCCCCAGCTCGAGTTTTGTGGTATTGAGCTTAATTGCAGCGTGAAGCATCTCACTGGGGGAAG